CGCCCTCCCTCCTCGCTGCCTTTCCCATGCCGTTCCGCTCTTGCCCTTTGCTTTAGTAACCCAGGCATCAGGGAGGGAGCCCAGCACAGCAGGGCACTCCAGTCCCTGCCAAAGGAGCCTGTTGTACTTGCTTGGCCGCCTCCCCAGCACAGGGGAAAACACGGAGTGACAGCAAATGGAACAGGAGTTGTCTTGCCAGCAGAACCTTCTCTTGCAAGACAAGACGTACTGCAGATGAGAATTGCAAGTACGGCTCCTGTCCCCCTGCCACTGTCACTTCTTCAAAGGGTTTCTGAGTTGGAAATACCTTTTTCTTTCTTCTAATGAGAAGTTGACCAAGCAACTGCTTTCTAGCACTGTGGAGGTGCTGCAACCCCGGCACTTGAACACTTGTATATGATGGCTGAGCAGATTTTGGGGGCGGGAATAGTGTAGTCTTGTGAGGGCCACTCCTGTAAGGCTGCTACTTCAGTAAATGCTTTGCAGTATCAGCACCTGACCTGCACAGCAAGAGTCCCAGGACCGGTGAGGAAGGAGGAGCAGGATCCTGGTTTCTGTGGCAGATGTCCAGCCAGGGAGAGCTGGACTGGAAATGAATCGAGGCTGAAGTGATCTGTGTGGCAAACGGCTCTGGTTAATTTTTTGATAACTGATCTTTTTCCTTTGTTCGTGCATGTTCCAGGGAAAAAGTTTGGAAGCTGGTGACTTGCACCAGGTATCAGAATTGGGGGGAGGTATGCAAGGGAAGGTATGTGTTAGTGGGGAGAGTACTGGTCTGGATTCGGTTACTCTCTCTCTTAACCTGTTTCAGGAGGAGCTCAGAGGAAGCTTGCCTCCTGGGACTTCTGTCCAGGAAACTAAATGCTGAGCTCTAGGAACATTATTTTCATTAATCACTGGACATCCAGAATTCCCCTACACTGTGCAGCTTGCAAGTTTAAGAATGTCCTTTAATGATAAATGAGGTTTCTGGTTAGTATTTCTAGACAGAGTATCTCATCAACTTTTATGCTGTAATGCTTGCTCCCTCCAATCCTATTCTGCAAGAAATACTCCTGTGATGAACCCAAATGTAAGAGCTTGTTTCTTCAGTTGCTTGCAGTACTAAATGTTGAAGGGAGAGGACTGACAGCACCAGTATGTCTGAAATAATACTACCTAACTACTGGTTGAAAAACCATTCAGTGTTCAAGAGCATAGTTATTCCAGACACAATAGCAGGGGATAGCTAGGAGGATATGTAAAAGTAGGTAATTTGGGCATGATATCTGTTTTGATCCTGGAATAGCATCTGTTTGCAGGGGGTCATATGCAGGTGCTGCAACAGCCTGCAGCAAGTGCCTGGCCACAAGCCATTCAACGTTGACTTGTCAAGTAATCTGTCACATCATCTACGCTCAATGCTAGCTGTAGCTCTTGTGTCATGTTTCACTCCGCAGAGTTTGTGTGTCCCACTGTTGACTGCAAGTGGATAAGTAAAACCAGAATGGCTGGAACAAGCAGTAGTGCATTAAAGTGAAAAGCCAAACCAAAAAGGGTTTTTAGGACTTGAAAAACAGCTTCCCTGAAGATAGCGAAGGAAACTGAAGCAAATAGGCAGTAGTTGTGGAGTAGAACATACTTATCTTGCTCTCACTCAGAGTGCATTCATGAAGGAGTTAAAAATCCGGTAACCAGATAACTTTGTTCAAACACGGTTCATTTGTTTGGCGTGACCGTGAGTCTTCCAGGCTCTGAGATAATGGAAACCTGCAGGCTGGCTTTGATAGTCTTCCTTCATCAGAAGACACCCAGAGGCAGCCTTCTGTCCCCATGTTCAACACACCTCTGTGCAGTCTCTTTGTAAAGACAACAAACTATTATAAGCAGATATGGAGGCAGCTCTCAAAATGTTGATGGCAGATGTAGTTTTTGTCAGCAGCTAATTTTGTTCCCTCTCCTGGCTCCTACAGAGATGTCATCTCCCTCCCTGAAGACTGGTGCATACATCCTCATTGGTGTTGGGGCTCTCACCATGCTGATGGGGTTCCTCGGCTGTCTTGGAGCAGTCAATGAAATCCGATGTCTCTTGGGTCTGGTGAGAGAATTCATGCTGTGTTTTAGATCCACCCTTTTAATACATCTCCTACAAAATATCTGTTGGACTGTAGCTGGGGCTCAGGTCTCCTGGGGATGGTACTTCTGCTAGGTCAACTTAGATCCAGTTATTAATTTGCACATGTTAAATTCTCCAGCAGTCAACAGGCTGCACCAGTGGTTCCTTAGACATTACTGATGATGAGCTAATAATTCTGCAAAATGAGAGAGGATGTTGCCGATACTTTCTGCACAGTGGGTTGAGGACTGCCAACTGAGGAGAGATGTCCCAGGTGACCCTGTACCTCGTGTGTCATCCTCCTGCCCTGACTTCCTAGTTGGCATTGTGCTCTCAGTGGTGCAAGGACAAGTATGAAGGGCAGTGAGAGAGAATAGGAAAAGTAACAGTGTCCTGCTGTGCTACAAAGTTCAGCTTCTGTGGAAAGTGCAAGTATCGAGAGAGACTCGATTAGGAATGTCCTGTATGTCAGGACTTGCCTTCAAATGGTTCATCTATAGAGAATTTTCTGGCTGTGGTGGATGAGAAAACACTAGCTTCATACACCTCGGTCTGCTACTTGACTCCTGCTTATTCAGAGCACATACGTATAGGAAACCAAGTATGGCCACATTGTGTGTCCTGGCATTAGGAACATCTCCTAATGTAATAGTAGTAGCTGCCACCATTTAAAAGTAACCTCAGATGTCAGACTTTCCTTAAAAGAAGTTTGCTGGTGAATCTTAAATTTAGATCCTCGAACAAATTAAATAGCATTTTTTAAAAAGGTAATTGACTTTAGAAATAATAATAATAAAAAAATTAGGTTTGTAAAATCGACTTTTCTTGCTGTGATGCTTGGGGTAGGCAGAGTCCGACTGATTTAGGTTGGAGTGGACTGGGAGTGGAGCTGGGGGTGGGAGAGGGAGTCCCAGCTGGAATAACACCTGCAGAGGGTGCTTGTAAACCCTCTCCCTCCTGAAGTCTTCCTGTTGGCCTGATGGGAGAAGTGCTGAAATGCACTGGTCTGATGTAGATGTTTGCACTTAAGCCTTTTACTGGGGAGAGCATTGTTGATAGCAGAGCTTGTCTGCAAGCAAAGGTGTTGGCTCAATATTGTGACTTCTGCTGTATATGAAATCTTACTAAAAATTGTGCTATTAGGTAGAGACCTTTCTAAAGGCTGGCAGTGGTCATCTATTCTGTTTTGTTTCCAGTACTTCACCTGCCTGATGGTAATCCTCATAACTCAGGTTGCTGCTGGTCTGGTCATCTACTTCCAGAAAGAAAAGGTAAGTGTTTCTTACTGTGCATGTTTCCCTTGGTCTTGGTTTGGGGGAACAGGAGGCACTTGGAAATTCTTTCTTCCAAACTGGGCATACTGTTAGCAGGCATAACTGAATTCTTCTTTCCTCTACCCCAGCTCAGCAGCTTTGCTGTACAGTTTGCTGCTTCTGTATCTGCTAGCCTCAGTAGTCCTACTTTCTCAAGGATGATGAAGCTCTGTTTGGTATTGCAGGCTTTATTTTTGAGTAGTGGGAACACTAAAAAGAAATTCCTGAAAGGCTTTTGACCACACCTCCTCTCAATCCTGCTGCAGACTATTATTTGGGCATGTAGTAGGAGTGATTACTACCATATTGCCATCGCTGGTGCCTTGAGGGGGTTACCAGCCTGAGTGATTGCTTTTCTGACTGGCCTCCCTTGTTGTGTCTTGTTCCATCCTTTCAGCCCTTCTGCATCTCTATGTAAAACACTCCTTGGAAGAGCTGTCCTCTTTCCCCAAGAGCAAACCCAAGGATCTAATAGTTCCTGTACTACAGTTTGAGCTTAAAGCCAAGTGGTTTAACATTTTGAAGTGGATCTCTCTGTCAGGAATGCAGTTTCACAGTGTATGCTTCTAGAGCTCCAATAGGCTTTGTAGTGTAAAGGGAATAACTTTTGAGCTACTTAAGTGCATTGCAACAGCCTGTCCTGGCTATAGATACTGTGGCCAGGGCAATGCCTGGTCAGGCCTCCAGCTGTTTGACACCTCAACTGAGGGCCACATTCATGCGGCGGGAGCAAGTTATAATTGGGGGATCCCTGCTGTCTTCTCTTCTGCTGTGCAGGTTTCTGGTACCAGTTGTGGTAACCCTGTCCTTTGCCACATAAATATATATTTATACTACTGCATGGCTGTGCTTACTTCTCCTAAGCCAACCCTCCTGCTAGGTGGTTGAGGAATGGGGCCTGGTGGTGAAGTTTGGGGGTGGGAGGAAGTTGCCTGCCCCCAGTGTAGCTGATACGAGCTTTGTAAAAGTGGCTGTGGTGACTGTGGTGACTGTGAGCAGCTATTGGCTGGGTTCCTTGCCAAATGTGGTGTGAATGTAGCTTGCTCTCTGGGCTGGCTGGAGCTGAACAAGAAACTGAAATGTTGGCTAGCTGGTGTGTCAAGTTGCAGCTTTAAACAAGCTGCCGATTCTCAACAAACAGCTCTAATGCAGAGGAGGAGGTGTGGGGATGGGCATTCCCCTGCGATGGGGAAATGTGACTTTGCAGACCATGAAATTCCATACCTCTGTTGGTATTTCTCCTCCAACTGTCACTCTGCTCTGGAAAACTCCAGCTTTTGAGCTGTAGCTCTTCATTTGAACCTCAGTCAGACCAGGGAGAGAATAAAAGTGCTGGGGGTTATTCTGCACAGCCCTCAGAGCTGATGTGGCTGAGGATCATCACTTGTACAGATCCAGCAGAATGGTAGGGGAAGCTGGGCTTTGAACAGGTGCTCCTGTTCAGTCCTCAGTGAACAAAAGTTACAGAAAAGCCCTTCTAGAGCCCCTCTATTTCAGGGATCCTCTGAAGTACCTGCCTAGAGTGCTAAGAAAAACTGTTTCAGGAAGGCCTTGGCTGAAACCTCCCACACACTGGTTTGTGGCTGCGCTTCGGTGATGCTACGCATGTCGCTCTGCTTCACTTGAAGTTCCTCATCCCAGGGCAGCTCGGAGCACAGTAAAGCAAACTGAACACGGTTCAAGATCCAGTCTCTAGATGTCTGTTGTGTTCTTCCTGTTTCTTTCTTTCTGACTTCAGGAACTTGGTTAGATATAAAACAAGGAATAACAACAGTGGAGGAAAGGATCTTGGATCAGGAATGTAGCAAGGTGATACTCGCTCCTTTTGTAACTAAAGCATTTATTTCTGCACTGCTGGAGAGTAGACAGGATTATTGTTTTACTCCTCTCAACCGGCGCTTTTCTTGATTAGTAGCTACTGAACAGATTCATTTGATGTTTTTTGTTGCTCCTTTTCAGTGTCAAAATCCTTTCCCACCCCTGACATGTGAAAGTATGCTGAAATAGAGTTAGTGCAACTGTAGAAGGCTGAGTCTCTGACAGGAAGGCTGCTGCTTTGCCTCCCCCATGGGCATTGCTAGAGGAATGCCCCCTCAGACTGGAATTGCCCAGTGATACTGGGAGGATGTTGATGTAACATTCATTTCCCTACATCTGCTGGTGACTGAAACTGTGTGGTGGGGTGGGGTTTTTTGAGGGACAGCAAAATAGTAACATCATAAATGGCATTCAGCTTTGAGAGCTGAATGTTGCTACTCACCTACATCTAGTGGATCACAAGCCCCTAAACATGTGAGAGCTTGGGCAAGGTCTGTCTTGGCTTAGTTAACATGGTTCTCTGCAGCTTGGCTCTAAATGCCTTGAGGGAAGGAGAGCAGTGGTCTTTTGGGAATTGCACTACTTGCTAGCTCTTATTTGCAGCAAACAGGCCTGTGTGATTTCATGCAGTGACTTGCCTGGGGCTATGGACTATCCATTAGTTTCAGAATCTGAAGTGACTGGGGGGGTGAAAGCCCCCTCCTGTTTTTTTGAGTCTATTTTTGTGTGCAGGCTAGATGCTAATAACTGCTGGGGGAAGGATCTAGCTTGAATCTCTCGGACAGAGGGACAGGATAGTTGACTGACAGTGTCTGACAGTGGAAGAAGCCTGCATGATTTGTTCCGAAACTGGAATCAAAGACCTAGGTTCTTGCCTCTGGTGTTCAGCTTTCCCCAGCTCCCTCTTCAGTAAGCCCGTGTGAAGGGGAGACTGACAGCCCTGCTGCTCTTTGGCAGTGGTCCATGGCTTTGGTGCTGTGCTGGTTTTAACTGGTATAGAGCTAATTTTTTACCATAGTAGCTAGTATGGGTCTATGTTTTGGATTTGTGCTGAAAACAATGTTGTTAATCATAGAATCATAGAATAGTTTAGGTTGGAAAAGACCTTTAAGATCATCCAGTCCAACCATTAACCTAACATTACCAAGTCCACAATAAACCAGTCAAGGGTAGACTAGACTAAACCATGTCCCAAAGTGCCACATCTACCTGTTTTTTGAATGCTTCCAGGGATGGTGACTCCACCACCTCTCTGGGCAGCCTGTTCCAATGCTTGACTACCCTTTCCATGAAGAAATTTTTCCTAATTTCCAACCTAAACCTCCCCTGGTGCAGCTCGAGCCCATTTCCTCTCATCCTATCGCTAGTAAAGATGTTTTCGTTATTGCTGAGCAGTGCTTAAACAGAGTCAAGGCCTTTTCTGCTTCTCACACCACCCCAGCAGTGAGTAGGCTGGGGGTGCACAAGAAGTTGGGAGGGGACACAGCTGGGACAGCTGACCCTAACTGACCACAGGGATATTCCACACCATATGACATCATGCTCAGCATATGAAGCTGGGGGAAGAAGGAAGGGGTAGACGTTCAGAGTGATGGCATTTGTCTTCCCAAGTAACTGTTATGCATGATGGAGCCCTGCTTTCCTGGAGATGGCTGAACACCTGCCTGCTGATGGGAAGTAGTGAATTAATTCCTTATTTTGCTTTGCTTGTGCACACGGCTTTTGCTTTACCTATTAAACTGTCTTTATCTCAACCCATGAGTTTTCTCTTTTACTTTTACTCTTCTGACTTTCTCTCCCATCCCACCGTGGGGGCGGGGAGTGAGTGGCTGTGTGGTGTTTAGTTGCTGGCTGGGGTTAAACCATGACAGATGCCTAGGGTTTGAATGGCCCTGCTGTGGGGTGGCAGGGTTGTGCCCTTCTGACACCAGGCTAGCTAGAGTTGGAAAGCAGCAGGAGTGTAGAAAGCAAGGGTAGTGGTTTCTTGGAGCAATCATGCTCCACACAGCACTGAGTCCTAACAGGCCTTAAATGGGTGAAGATGGTGAGGATGTTGAAAGCCTGCCTAAGTGTTCAATATGCCTTTCTAGCTTGTTGCTCTTTCAGTTTTCCTCTGCCAAGTGTGGAAGGGTGATCAGCTGCAGGTGCCTGTGTTTTCCCTTTGGGCTGCTCTGCCGGTTAAACCTGTGAACAAGCTGCCTCTGTGTGTGTGCTCTCCAGAGCTGTGCTATTGTTTGCATAACATTCCCTCTGTCTCCAATTACTTTCTGAAACACCTAAGAATGCCTGAGTTTTTCTTTAACTGAAATGCCTCACTTTTTGAAACCAGAGCTGTTTGTAAGACTTCTTGCCTGTTCTTGTGTAAGAGTAGAAGAGCAGAGATACAGCTTCCCTATGCAGCTGTGATTGGGGACACCTAGTTCAGGCCCTGTCTCTGCTTGTGGTGGAGTCCTGGGATGGAGAACAGAGACACTGCCTGGGGTTCTTGCAGAAGTGACCCTAGGCTCCATCTGGCCTAATTGCTAAGGGGCCAGATAGGCCCAGGGTACCACAAACAACCCAGCTCTCCTTGCCTCCCTCTGTGCATGTGGAGCAGCAGTGTGAGCGTGGGAACTCAGAGGTTCAGTAACTGATAAGGCTTATGGCAGCAGCTAAGGCCAATCTCGTTAGTGAGAACCAGGTCAGGTTGCCTTGATTTGAAGGGAAGGAAAAGGGGAAGCAAAGTAATTAAAAGGGGAAGAGCTAGACATCATGAGAAGAAAGATCACGCAGCTCCCATCTGTCTGGCCTGACATAGCTGATTGCAGTTTGCTGAGCTGCAGTTTTCCTGGGAAGAAGAGTTGCTGATGTAAAGAAGGTTCTCTCTAGCAGTAGGCACTGCTTCATCTTGCTGGGTGTCCCTGGGTTTGCCATGGTCATTTGCAAAGCTTAACAGTAGAAGGAAAGGGAAAAAACATTTTCACTGATCTGAAATACGTTGTAGCACCACAGGCAAAAAGGTAATACATGGGATGGGAGCATCCTAGTACTCAGACTGATGTAACTCTATCCCATCCCTCAATGACACTTCTCTCCAACCTCTTGTGATCTGGGTCTGTCCTTAGCAATAACAGCTGTCCTCATGTACAGGCTGACTGAGAAGAGCTTCAGAAGGAGGTGGGAGGAAGAAGGTGAAGGAGTCTGGGTGGTAGCTTGCACCTCTTGTCAAACTGAAAGGTGTTGTAAATATGTCTGGATAAGGAATGGGGGTGAAGGGATGATTTGATACACCTGAGCTTTGTGATAAGACTGTTTAATGAACAGTTCAGATAGTTGCAGTACTTCCTGTCTTAATATAGAAGCAGCGGTTGTAGGAGTCTGCGGAGAGGGCAATTAATGCCTTGTGAAAAAGGGAAATTTCCACCAGCTGTGTGTCAGAAAACCCAGCTGCATACAGGAGCAGTGACTCATACCTTCCCTGAGCAGCGGAGATGAACTGCAATGACTGAGATTCTGGACCAGAGTCTCGCTTGCAGTGCAAGGTTAGAAATATGTTATCTGTGAGAACTTAAGGCAATGTTGTCCTTCAGCTTGCACTTATCTTTCACCTCTGTCTCGTCTGGGGCAGGCAGCGTTTGTTCAGCCTGTGTCTTACCAGGATAACCATACCCAGTTCTGTTTTGCTCGTCAGGTTTGTAGCCCTTCTCTGTGCCTGGGAGAGGACTTTCTGGGAAGTACTGGTGCTTTGGCTGATGCATTGCATAGCAAAGCTGCTGTCTTGCCTTACCTTCAAGGATGAGGCTGTATATATCACCTTATCTGTACTTGTTACTTTTTGCACTTAACTGTTTTTGAGTGACCGAAGCTGCATATAACATTTCTGAAGAGATATAGTTTGTGCTTTGTACAATTGTTTTACTCTTTTCCTGTCTCTTCTGGAAAGATTTTCCTGATGTATACTAAGACCATTTCTGTTCTTTGACTCTGGACCACTGGAGCCTATAGGGTTTTTTGTTTGTTTGTTTTGTGGCCACAAAGCATCCCACGTTTTTCTGTGGTAGATTTCCAGCTGTCCCCCATAGATTACATGCACTTACTTGCCCAGGACTCCACAACTTTGGTTTCTTGTGAGTTAAATTTATTTCCCTTTCTGTGCTCATCTTAAGGAGATGCATGATTGCTTGGTCTGATGTCTGAACTTCTCTGTGTATCAAATGTGCTTCCCATCAACACTGTAACAAGCATAATGCTGTTCTCAGTAAGCAAAGGAATTTATTCCAAACCTCACCTTCTGAGGAACTTGAGTAGCAGTGTCCCATCTGCTTAATAAGCTTGAGGAGAAACTGCTTGGTGGAGAGAATGGGGACCTGGAATTAACTCATTTTCTCTAGAATAACTTCCCTCTTACACAGCAGCAGGCCATGCAACTTTGAAAGCTAGGGTGGACTTGTTGTGTTTACTTCTCCCTGGAAAAAACTTTCTTAGCAAGAAATGCCACCTGGTCATCACAATGGGACTTTACCTTGGTAAACCCGTTCTGTATTTCATCCTGCTGATCATATTTATTGCTACTTCTCAAAAGCATAGACAGGACTGCAGAGTAGGGTATTTGAAGGTCAGTCTGGGGGATTTGTCACTGCCTGGTTGCTTTTTTTTCTTTTAAGCATTGCTTTGTGTGCCAATTAAATCCTCATTTTCCAATGATTTTAGTCATGGTTCTATCTGTCTTTTTGCTGTAACTTAAAAATAGCTGTATTGTGGGAGTGTGGTAGCCTGAGCACCTATTACTGTTTCAGTCAGATCCTTTCGAGAAGGTCTAAGCGGAAGCTACTGCACAGTCCACTGTTTTTTTGCAGCGCTTGTAATCTGTAGCTGCAGTTTGTCTGTGCTCTAGCTCCAGTGAATGAGGCTAGAGCTAAGGAAAATGTTTTCACACTCATGACAGTGATGACTCCCTGTGTTTTTCCACTGTGGGGAACATGGACCCACAGCAGGACTAACACAGGTGATAGGGAGGGGTGTTATGTGCCCTAACCCCCAAAGAAGAGGCTACAAGGAATTAACTAACCTAACTCTTGCCTGTTTTTCCTTGCCAGCTGAAAGAAGAGGTGTCCCACATAATTGGAAATCTGATTAAGAATTACAACCCTTTGAATGATGATGAGAGGAATTTACAAGTTGCATGGGACTATGTGCAAACACAGGTGAGTCATGGGGGACAGCAAGAGGCAGATGATGCTATTTGTCAGTGTAGTAAATGGCCTTTAAAACTAGGCTGAGGACAGGGGAACAGGTATTGCAAGAGGCAATACTGTAGCACATTGATCTGGCTGATCTACAAAGTTGCCCGTGAGGCTTGGTGCCTGCATACTAGCAAATTGTCTTGCTTGCTATTACTAGGTAAGACACTGAACCATTCCTGCATACTGGCTGTTAGGACTAGCTAGTATTGGCTGCATAGCTTAATGTATCTGGCCTATCAAATGGCACCCCAACACTTCTCCCTGTCTGCAGGTCTTCCAGAATACTAGCATGTGTGAAAGCCACAGTGCATACTGGTTTTGTAGCAAGTGAAGTCCCTAGCTTATTGCCAGGCAAGTCAGCAGCACTGCCTGCCTTACTACTTGGTGGATGTTGCTTGCTTATTGTGATGGCTTTTCTGCAAGTGTCGGCGTTCTTGGGAGCCATCCAACTGGTTTCTGGGGAGCCAGCTCATGGTTTCTGTTTTAGGATCAGGGTCAGCACTTGAGCAGCTAGGTCAGTGTTCGGGCACACTGGAGTCATGATAGCTGTTTACTACCAAACCACAAGCTTGAGAGCTGGCTGGCTGTTGTGGTTAAATACATGCCCAGCATGGGACTGGTGTGTAGTAAGTACAAGTAATAGCATTTTTCTTCTGTCAGTTTTTCGGTCTGCAAAACACTGACCTGCAGTATTTCTCCTCCTTGGAGGCAGAATGATTTATTTATGTTTTATCACTGTAGTTGCATTTCCTTGCTAGTGGACTCAAGACAAGGCTGGGTCTACTGTGGAGAGAAGATCCTGCTTGAGCCCTTGTTTTATGCAGGAACAGGAGAAGGTTTTGTAGAGGTGGAGAAGTCAAGTCTTAGGAATATAATTCTTCTCATACACTAGAGTTAGAATTTGAAAGGGGGTGGGTGTTCTGTAGACGAGTCTTGGAGTTAAAGTCTAAACTTCTGTGAGGCATAGGTAGTTCCTTCTGGAGGCTGGATCTTCAACACTTGTTTGGAAACCAAACGCTCATCCTGGTGTGGGTGTTCAGCTGTTTGTACCTCTGCTGTCATGTCTGTTATGTCAGACCAAAACATTAAATTTCTTTTCTGAGCAGAGGGGGATTTTCCCTAAACTTCCACCTCAAGTTTGATGCCTTTCTGCTCTGTACCACTGTGCAAGTAATGGGATCCATGGTTAAGATAAAATCTTAGTCTTTGCTGGACTTCCCTATGTGCTTTCCCCTCCAGCAACTGCAGTTTTATTACGTGGCTGTATAGGAATATAAATGTTTCTTCGGATGGAAAACTTTCCGCATCCCATCTTCCAGCCAGTCCCAACTGCAGCCAGGCGGGTGCAAACTCATCATGACTCGCTGGGGCTCGGCAGCATGTCGACGCCATCGTGCGGTGGCTGCTGGTGTCCCCTGGGGACCACAGCTAAGATCAGTGATACCTTGCAGTTGGGAACCATAAAACAAAAAGTTCCTGCTTCATGTCCGCTCAAAAAAATGCGTGCTACTCAAAGAAAAATAAAGTCTTGGCATTTAAACCTATGGAAATGGTATTGCTAGCGGAAGACTAGGTAGTAATCCTTTGGCCAAGAAGGCCAAAAGTATCCTGGTTTCTGTCAGGAATAGTGTGGCCAGCAGGAGTAGGGAAGTGATAACGCCCCTGTACTAGGCACTGGTGAGGCCGCACCTCGAATACTGTGTTCAGTTTTGGGCCCCTCACTACAAGAAAGACATTGAGTTGCTGGAGCATGTCCAGAGAAGGGCAACGAAGCTGGTGAAGGGTCTGGAGCACAGGCCTTATGAGGAGTGGCTGAGGGAACTGGGATTGTTGTAGTCTGGAGAAGAGGAGGCTGAGGGGACACCTTATCGCTCTCTACGACTACCTGAAAGGAGGTTGTAGTGAGGTGGGTGTTAGTCTCTTCTCCCAAGTAACAAGTGGTAGGACAAGAGGAAATGGCCTCAAGCTGCATCAGGAGAGGTTTAGATTGGATATTAGAAAAAATTTCTTTACTGAAAGAGTGGTCAAGCATTGGAACAGGCTGCCCAGAGAGGTGGTGGAGCCATCATCCCTGGAGGTGTTCAAAAAACCTGTTAGATGTGGCACTTTGGGACATGGTTTAGTAGGCATGGGGGTGTTGGGTTGACAGTTGGACTGATGATCTTAGAGGTCTTTTCCAACCTTAGTGATTCTATTTCATTCTTTTGAGATGTCTTTGAATACATAGGAAGTCTTGTCAACATGTTAATCTCTTGTCTGTGTTGCTTCTCCCTCACCAAATCAATCTGCTGACTATGAACTGGAGGGACTGAAAAAATCTCTCAAATGTGTCACACAGGACAACTGCCCTCCTCCAGCTGACCCACCAGCAACAACTGTTTTACACTTTTAATTCTGTTTAGCACTGTCACCTGGAGATAAGATGAGGTTTACTGGTATTTAGGCTGCAAAAGCTAATCAAAATTACACTCTATAGACTTGATGTCAAGCTGCATGGCCTGCTGAAATCTGAGTATCTAGGCCTCGTGCAGTAAGGCTTGTGAAGGATTCGTATTCTAGCATGACTGGTGTGCTAGAACTTTATGGATGGCCTATGCATGTTTTAGTCTACTATGCTCAAAGTCTGCTAGAAGTGGCCCTTTAACTCTTATCTTGCTAGCAGAGTGATTCTTTGGTAGGAAATAATACCCCTGTCTTCTGGACGGCCCTAGGGATAGGTTATCATCTGGTAACCAGGGTGCTGTTATAACTAATTGATGCAAACTGTATGGCCTGACTATTGTTGTTACATGGAGCTCTCCATGTATACTTCTACCTCCACTGCCTGTTTGTTTTCATGTGCAGTATGTTACCAGTGCAAAGTGTAAGACCATGATGATCTCTCTCTGCTTATTAGATCGCCTGCTGTGGCTGGGCTGGAGCAAAGGACTGGGAAAATAATGAGATTCTTATCAACCAAAGCATGACAGCATATCCCTGCTCCTGCTCCAATATCTCCAAGGACTTAGAGGTATCTAGGGGTTTCTGTAAGCTGGATGTCCCTGTCAACGGCACTGCAACATATGCTGACTGGCCTGTTCATGAGCAGGTGAGTGGGTTTGTCTGGGCCCTGTGATTCTTCCACTGAAGTTGCCTTGTCTTTGTTCCTCCAGGAATTGTTTAGAGCACTTTTTTCATGTCAGTATTGCTTGAAGTACCTGTGGAAATGGGAGCAAGGGGGGACAGGGATCCCACCCGTTTCTGCTAAAGCTACCGTGAAACTTGATATAGCATGTAACTGGGATAATCTCTGAATGCACATGGAGATGTGTTATGGATTTTCAGTCTTGAGATAGTCACAAGGGAAAGAAGCACAAATCTAACTATGTTTTCTCCATAGGGATGCATGGATGGTGTAGAGAAGTGGTTGAAGGACAACCTTGGTGTCATTCTTGGGGTCTGCACTGGTGTTGCTGTTATAGAGGTAAGACACTCCCTGATATGAACCTATACTGTTTTACCATGCAGACTCTTTTAAAGGTAAAGCTATTTTTTTCAAGTAATAGACACCTGGTTTAATGGCAGTGCAGTTCTAGCTCTTGGTTGTGTCTACCTGGAGCTTTGAACTGCTGCTTTCATTGTTTGGATTAAAAATTGAACAAAGCCCTGTCTCCTTGTGGCTCCTGCTGCTGTTTCTGATGCTTGGCAATTCACTGCATGCATAACCAGGAAGAATGAGACAAATAACATTCCACTAGTGAGATCCCACTTTTTGCCTTAAAAAGCCCATAACATAGATTCCAGATGTAGGCACATCTTTTTGCAGCAAAATATTTTTGTCATCCCAATTATCGCATTTTCCTTGCATTGGGGACCAACTCCATTCACCTGTGTGGTGTCATTAAAAGGGGACCACTGTATTCTGCTCCCCTGTACCACCCTTTCTTCCCATCTTATCTGTCTCGTTGCTGATTTTGTTCCCATTCTTCATTACTTATTCCAGCTGCTGGGGATGATACTGTCCATTTCGCTCTGCAAGAACATACACAGCGAAGACTACACCAAAGTGCCCAAGTCTTGAGTTGGCTGACTCCAGAGCTACAGCACCACAGAGAAAGGAGCAAACAGAACATTCCTGCCTCATACCCAGACTGTCCAACTATTGACCATTCTTGTGACATCCCATTTCTGATACCACTCTGCTAAGAACTGTTAGAGCTGCAGTACAGCCTGATCTTCTGGCAATAGGGCCCTTGCATCCTGCCTCTGGATTATTTCTACTTCAAGAAGCAGAACTTAACTGTCTTGTATCACATGAGACACTGATTAACCTGAGGGGACAATGCTTTTGCTGCCTGCTCCATGTTAAACAATACTATTCATATCTCCGTTCTATAACCTACTGGGCCTAGCATACAGTAAATCCTCTCCCACCTTGTTCTCCCCCCACACATCTTTTCCCCTACTCCCAGATGTCCCATCTCTTTGTCCCATGAGCCAGGATTGCTATTGAGATTCCAGTGCTTTGGTAGTTTCACCTACTTCATGACTTGCGGTGGTAACTAGTTGTGCTTTATAGGCCTTCTTCTTCCTTGCAGTTAATGTGATTTGGCTCCTACTGTGTGTCTTCCAGCCTAGGATCTCATCTGAAATGTCGAGCACTACCGTCATACTCGCTTCTCCTGCTTCTGGAGTCAGCTGTGCCTTGCCTTCAGTGGAGCTCTTCCCTTTGAGTGTGATGAAAAGCCACCAGGAGGGAGACAAGCCTACCTATTCCTAGTGTGGCCTGGCAGACTGTGGTGGTGGTGCTCAGCTGCTTCTGGAATGGGTTCCTTGGGTCTGAATTTGACACTTAACATGTTTCTCCCACTTGCCTCTTTACCTTTATCTCTCCCCCTAGCACTGCTTTGCTGGTTGCTGTCAGCTTGGAGGCACTTCAGAGACTGCTGCATAATGTGGACTCAGCCCCAGACTGGCTCTGCTGGTTGCATTCTTGGGTTGCCTACTTTATATAGAGAGGTTACAATTAACTGCATTCTTCCACTGCCCCCTTTATGAACATAAAATTTGTTAGCTGTGGCTTTTAATTATGAATATGGAGGGATCTGACTGGATTGCTGATGCTGTATATTAGAGATATCACTGCTACCAGTGCCTGGTTTAGGTCCTGTAGTTTGGATGTGAGGATAAGTTGCTTTTATTTCAGTTGTCCAGTCTTCAGACTCCACTGTGGTCTGTAGCCATGGCTGCACCCTGAGCTCTGTCTTGAGTGTAAGCACTGCAGCAGATAAGTAGCTAGTTCTGCAATCATGCAGGCTGGGTGGTGTCTGTACTTAATGGCTGGGCTGTTTGCTCTATTCAGCCAGTGGCCAGCAGCAAGGAGTGGTGTAGAGCAGAAGAAAGTAGGAAATGTATGTGAAAAACTGCTTCAACTTCTTAGATAAGGGAGCTGGGTGCAAATACTCAGTCTAGAGGTGGCTTGGGCACAACAGATGTCCTGCAGTTGCACATGTGTGCAATCACCCTGACAGCAGGAAGCTGTATGAGAGAGAAGTAGATGGTCCTTGCCTGAGACCAGAGGTGGTCCCAGGACCGTCTCTTGTCAGGGTTGGGGTTGGTAGGAATAACCCCAGTAGCAGTTCAAAGGGATGGCTTTGCTACCTGCTCAGTTTTCCTTCTGGGAAGAAAGACTTGTGCAGGGGATCGAGGCCCCAGCAGTGGGTCCCTGCTCTGTCCTTATCCCTGGACACAGCAGTGATTGGGGAGAGTAGGTATGACTGGGCAACTGGTTTTTATGGAGGTCTGATGAGGCTTTGCTATTTTGAGACACCTGCCCCCTCCTGCACAGATCCTTCAAGCTGACCTTTGCTATAGCAGAAGGCACCCTTCTTAGCAGTAAAGCTTGCTAGCTTTTGTAGCACAAAGGCAATTCTCTAATGTGTTCTTACTTGTAAGATTCTTGTTCAGTTACAGATGCCAACACTGAGCAGCAAGTAAAAAGGAGCCCATGCTGGGTTTCCTTCTTGGGTTTTGTCTGTTTTTAGCAAAATCTTCCTACTGGAAGAAATGCATGTACAGATATAAAAGTCTAGAGGGAGAATATTTCTGTAATAAAGACTTTGCTAAAAAAATATATTTCTGCCTACAACTTGTGCATTGCAGTGGTTTCCCCTTGCTTCCTCTCCACCCCCTTCTGCTTACGTGCAAATCACTGACACCTTGTTTGTACAAGGTAGTAAAGGGCCTGCCAGAAGCTGTTCTGAGGCCCACGTGTGAGATCAATGCGGACTGTGAAGATACTGCCCAGCAGAAGAAGGTGACAATTTTCCTAGGCTATATTCTGGAGGAAACTTTGACTTGTTTTATGCAGTATGTCTGTCCTAGGGTGAGCTGAGTGAGTGGTAGTTCTTTTGAATTACCTGCTGTCTCCTAAGCTAAGCGAACTCTGTCACTTCAAATCTGTACAGTCTGCACTGTATGAAGTCATAAGCCTTGGGGACTAACTCTGGCAAAACATAAGCTTGCTGCTATGCTCACAGTGCATACAGCTTTTGCTAGCTTAGCTTTATCATTTTTTCCTCTTCCTGCTCACCTTCAGTAGGCTCCTGCCTCCAGGCTGCTATTTTAAAAAAAGATTTCTCAGCCCCTGCCCTGCCACTGTGAGGAGGAAGAAAGCTGACGTAGCCATTTTTGTAGGTTATGCCACCACACACTAGGCTTCACTGTTTAAAAAGCTCTTGAGAAGCAGATAGAGTAACTGTATGAATCTTCTTGCTTCCCTCAGCTAAGCAGTTGAGAAATGGATATGAGCTGCATCTCGAAATTCCTTCAGGTCCTGCTCCATGGTGGTGTTTCTGGCCATTTAAAATGGCTGTCCTTAGAAACACCTGTGTTAGCATGCTAATGGAGTCTGGAGCTGTTGTTTTACAAAGTAATAAGCATGACCTAAGTCCTCATACATATTTGAAGAAACAGAGTGAATTTTGCAGAGAAGGAGGTACTGGGGTGCTTACAGCAAACACTGGTGGCAACGGGTCTAAAGCCAAGACTTCAGTTACCCTGACCAGCTGAGTGCGGAGCAAGAGGCGCTTAAATGGATCCTGGACCCACAATAGGGTGCAGTGATCTGTCTGATCTATGAGTACAACTTGTTCCTTTAGGCTGTCCTGGGCTGTGCTTGAGGAGAGCCTGGTTCTTGGTCATATGGGATCTCCCCCCTTTCTGGCTGGTTTCCCAGAGCATCCTGCTTTAATCGGGTTGCCATGCTTTCCCAGGGCCTCACGGTTTACAGGGCTACACTTCGTGGTAAAGCTGCCAAACCTGACCAGATGGCTGCTTGGTGGGGAAGGGCACAGCTGGTTCTCCTTCAGCCTGATGTGGAGCTGGAAGGAGAAAGGAGGGAAAGTGAGGACTGCTGCTTGTCTGCAGCTTGGGTCCCCAACTGCCCGAGCTCCGTGGCAAGCACTTGCCTTTGGCCACTGGAGGGAGGTGTTCCACCAAGAAAATGCAGCCTGGGTGCTGCACTATCAGCGGCATCGGCTGGTCCCTGGGGGATGAGATGATGACACTGATCACTTCCTTCTGCTCCTAGTTACTCCTGGCAGCAGGGTAGCTAAAATAACTTGTAATTACAAATGTATTCTCCTTGTAAACGATTTGTGCTGCATGCCTGGCATTTTTAGGGATAATTTTCCCTTCCATTTCTTGGAGCAGTGCACAGTTGGATATTTTGTTGCATGTCTTCCACTACTGTATATGGGTTGTGCTTGCTTCTCGGGTTTCTGCCCAAAGTAGCTCTGGAAGTTGAAGATAGCATGAGGAGCTTCTCCTGCTGCTTCTTTCTTTGTCCCCATATTTTTCCTGTTTCCCTCCATCCTCGGTTCCTTTGTGTGGTCCATCTGGGGGGAAGGAGGCAGTATTTGATGCTTATAAACATGTTCTAAAAAAGGATTCCAGGAAGAAAGGCCTCAGACCTTCAGAGAGCAAGAAACCTGCTGCTGCTCCTTGGGCCAGGCTCCCAGCTCATCTCCAGAGGTAAAGGTTTGCTGCTGGAACTAGAAATCAAAATAGCACTCAGACTTCTTGGGAGCTACAATATTTGTCTAGCAAAACCCACAGCGCCAGCCTCTGCAGTAGCTCAGCACATGGAAGCATTTTGTGCGTAACCAATAAGCTGCTATATAGCTGTCCCAGGCCAATAATTAATACTGCAAGAGTATAGTTGTGACCTCCCTGTGGCCTTAAGCAAGGCCCCTAGTAATGAACTGGTGACATTCCTCATTCTGTGTGATCATGAGGAACTTGGAAGCTGCTATAATTCTTCCCATGAGGTGTTTCTTCCTTCTGGAAAGGGAAGAGGGATTGTGTTAGTCAGAGTGGGTGTGGGTAAGCCTATAGGTCGCAATGCATCTTGTTGTCTGTGACGGTTTCTGCATGGCACATACCCAAATGTAACATGTGGCAGCTGTTCTTTCCTCTGTAACTCTCCCATGTGTGGTGGTGTGGCTGGTCCCTGCCAGCTTTGCTCAGGAATTGAGGCTGAATTTGGTAGACTTCAGAAAAAGTCTGATTTCTGGCTGCTGAAGGACGGACTACAAGTGGTGGTGTCAGATGCCGTGACTTGGTTGGGGAAGGTGAGGAACAGCAGCCACAGGGGCTCATGCTGAAAAGCCTGAGGACCCTGGGATTCCCACAAATGCATTTTAACAGCCAGTTGCTGCCACTCAATGCCATAAATGGAGAACATACCCTCAATTATTCATGGTCTGGCTCTAACCCATTAGCCTCTGAGACTTGGCTCTAGCCTTGGCCTTTTATTATAAAGAATAAACCTCAGTTAGCAGCCAGGATTTCTGAATGACATCTTAAGCCAGGTTGTCACTAAAAACTTGTCAGTGTAAAATCTGCTAACATGGAAGTCTTCAAATACTTGTGAGCTTGCAAAAGGTCCCTAGCAAAAACTATGCTATTAGTGAACCAAAGCTATTAGTAAAATGTTGCCAGTAAGGCAACTAAGTGTGCTTTAGGCATTATAAACAGTTTCTAGCAGACATGTGCTGGTAAAGATTCTTGTGGCAAGACTCTCTTCTGCAAAATGTGGGAAATTACCTTCAAAGTAGACTGTGTAAGCCTAGCCATACATTCTTACTTCTCATAGGTATGAATTTTCTGGTTTCGCTCTTCTAAGCTCCTAATAATACAATTAGCTGGGGTGTGTGTGTGTGCTGTTCGGCTTTCGTGGGGAGGGATTAGGGGAATATTGGATGCTCTGTCTCTGGAGAAAAGGTATTCTCAGTTCTCCAGGCAAAAAAATTACCCCCAT